GAGCTCCATCCCGAGCCGGTCCTTTTCGGTGGCCAGGGCGGAGGACCCCGGGCTGCCGAAAAGCTACCGAAAACCGCAGGAGGCGGGGCTACCCTCCCGACCACTTTGGTTCACGGCGAGTACCGAGTTTCCCAAACATCACCTCGCACCTCCAAAAGAGCCCCGCAGCGCACGGGGCGATCCTCGCCAGCACTTCCGCGGGCGACGTCCGCGGAACCCCTCGGGCCACTCAGCGTGAGACATCCCTACCTCCACCCAGAAGCCCTCCCCTGGACTCTACATGCTGGCGTCGACTCACAAGCGACGAGCGTATGCATATCCATATCCATGCCCTCGCATTCTGGATTCCGGGGCGCGATGCCATGATTACGCGATCGCATGGATACGTTCCGCGCGGGGCATCCACACCCCCAGCCGCCCCGTATCCGCAGAGTCGCAGCCAAAGAGCCTGGTCTGCGAGACCGTGGATACGAGTATGCTTCCCGGCCACAATTGAAGCGGGTCTGGAGGCTGCATCGGGTGCCTCGCCCAGAGCGCGCAGGAACTCTCCGAGAGCGTCCCGAAACGCTCTGCAACGGTCCATCGGCATCCTGTAGAGGGGAAGAGAACGAGGACCAGAATCAAGAATGAACGCAGAAACACCGGTGTCGATCTTGGTCATCGTCCGTCTTGGTCATCGCCAAATCGTGGATCTTCCGCGCACAGCGGCGACGGCCGACATGGCCATGACCAGAGAATCGACGTCGACAAGATCCCCGCGACATCATGGTCATGGTCGCCGTGCTGCACCCCCCGGCAGCAAACCGCTCACGGGGTGCTGCGCCGGCCTGCCGATGCCACGGCCGGGCCGCGGCGCAGCAGCATGCCGAAGACGTGCTTCTGCTCCACCGCACGATGCCCCGATGAAGCGCTTGGTACCAAGGCCGCGCTGACGGCGTGCTTGGTCAACGATGCGTTTAGGGATATTGTCGTTGCGACGCCGACCTCACGCAAAACAGAATGTAAGAAATCACGAAGCACCGTTTCCTACACCTCAGATATACGAATGCATCGAACGAAAACGACACAGCGAGTTTTAGGAAAACACGAAACACGCGTCCCTACAACTGGTTTGACCACGAGCCACGCCTTCCTACAATTAAATGTCCTCCGTCGCCGTTAGCTAACACACCGTTAGCGCGTCTACGGTAGTACCCTCGACCAAATTAACCGCGCAAAAACCGCATCCCCCAATGCTAGCGAACGAACGGATGCCGCGGCGCCAAGTCGCGCTGCGCCTCAGCGTTGCAGGACCGCGACTTCCCCGTTGGGGCGAGCCGCGCCGTATTAAAAAATTGTCACAGGTCCAGCGTCTGCGAAGCGAATGTTGGGTAGTGCTGTAGTTCTTGTCGTGATTTCACCACTGGGCTGGCCGACCCCAGAAGGTGCAATGAGTGATTTACGGGGCGCCACCAGCGTCCACGAGGCTGAAAGCGACCACGGAGCGGGCCGAAGACGGCTTTAGGCGCAGCCGTGCAGGCCAGATCTGCAGCATTGGCTTTCCCATGCACTCAGGATGAAGACATTAACGTTGAGCGATGCCCAACAACACCAACCCCACGGCGAGCCATGCCACATCTGCCGACCTTTCCAAACATCATCCTCTCGGCCTCAAGACGGCCCAAGAGGGCCACAAGAATACCCAAGACGGCGCAAGACGGCCTCAAGACGGCCTAAAAGCGCCCCTCGGTTTCACAAGAGAGCTCCGGGATAGTTCCAAGAGGGCCCGAAGGTCCCCCCAGCCCCAGACACCCGTCGAAGCAACCCGTCCAAGACGACTGCACAATGCCAAAATATTTGAAACAATGTGCTGGAAGCTCCCATGCTTTGCGACCCAAGGTAGCTCCAAGAGGGCCTCGCGCAAGACCAAAACAAAAGCAAGTAGAATGTCCCAAGAGGGGCCCAAATGGGGCTTAACACTTAAGACAGCACAATATAGGCCTGAGACGGCCAACGACGGCCGCAAGACAGCCCCAAGAGGTCCTCAAGACGGCCTCTGGAGCGGGCCAAGAGAGCTCCACGCCGCCCCTCCCAAAAAAAACGACGACGACGACGACGACGACGACGACGACGACGACGACGACGACGACGACGACGACGACGACGACAACAACAACAACAACAACAACAACAATCATTTTAAGACTGTTCGCTCTTATCTGCTCGCGTGTCATTCAATATGCATATCCCAAACCCTGGATACCCGCCCTCTTCGTCTTCGATCGTACCCCCTTTTGGGGGATAGTCATTCCCTGCCACGTGTGGTTGGGGAAGTCCTTGAAAACGAAGGGTAACAGATAACGGGGGAGACTGAGGACGAAGGGATCGGAGGAGGGGGGGAAGGGGCAAGAAGGAGGGAGGACGATGATTTGCGCTGTGAGTGGCGATTCAGCTTGCGCCACGGCTTGCGCCAGCCACTCCAACACAGGTTAAGAATAAGTTTCGACATGGGTCGCGCCATAAACAGCGCCACGTACCACACCCTTGAAAGAACATATCGTGGATACCCCCACGGGGGGACGTACAGCTGCGAACTGGTGTGGGCGACAGCGGGGCCACTGAGCGCAGAAACTGGGCCACGAAGGGCAGCGAGGGGGCCACGAAGGGCGACAGCGGGGCGACGAAGGGCATGCATATGGGGCCACGAAGGGCGCGAGCGATCGGGGGCCACGAAGGGCAATTCATCCGGGGTCACAGAGGGCAGCGACGGGGCCGCTGCGGGCAACACAAGGACCACGAAGGGCAGCGAGGGGGCCACGAAGGGCGACAGCGGGGCCACGAAGGGCGCGAGCGATCGGGGGCCACGAAGGGCAATTCATCCGGGGTCACAGAGGGCAGCGACGGGGCCGCTGAGGGCAACACAAGGACCACGAAGGGCAGCGAGGGGGCCACGAAGGGCGACAGCGGGGCCACGAAGGGCATGCATATGGGGCCACGACGGGCGCGAGCGAGCGGGGGCCACGAAGGGCATTCGCATATGGGGCCACAAAGGGCGACAGTGGGGCCACTGAGGGCAGCAAAGGGGCCACGAAGGGCAGCGAGAGGGCCACGAAGGGCGACAGCGGGGCTACGAAGGGCATGCGTCTGATTGCGAGGAAGTCCCAAGCGAGCACGACGGGCGCGACCGAGCGGGGGCCCCGAAGGGCATACGTATAGGGGGCCGCAGAAGGCAGCGACGGCGCCGCTGAGGGCAGAAATGGGGCCACGAAGGGCAGAGAGGGGGCCACGAAGAGAGACAGCGGGGCCACGAAAGGCATGCAGATGGGGCCACGAACGAGCGGGGGCCACGAAGGGCATACATATATGGGGCCACAAAGGCCGACAGCGGGGCCACTGAGCGCAGAAAGTGGGCCACGAAGGGCAGGGCCACGAAGGGCGACAGCGGGGCGACGAAACGCATGCGTATGGGACTACGAAGGGCGCGAGCGAGCGGGGGCCCCGAAGGGCAATTAATCTCGGGCCACAGGGGACAGCGACGGGACCGCTGAAGGCAGAAACGGGAGGGGGCCACGAAGGGCGACAGCGGGGCCACGAAGGGCATGCATATGGGGACACGACGGGCGCGAACGAGCGGGGGCCACGAAGGGCATTCGTATATGGGGCCACAAAGGGCGACAGCGGGGCCACTGAGGGCAGCAAAAGGGCCACGAAGGGCAGCGAGAGGGCCACGAAGGGCGACAGCGGGGCTACGAAGGGCATGCGTATGGGGCCACGACGGGCGACTGCGAGCGGGGGCCACGAAGAGCATATAATGCGGGGCCACAATGGGCAGCGACGGGGCCACTGAGGGCAGCAACAGGGCCACGAAAGGCAGCGAGCGAAGGCGACCGCGGAACCAGCACGGGCAGCGAGGGGCATCGAACGCGGGCGAAGGGCAGCGAGCGGCGACTTCAGTCCCTGACGGGCTGGTCGGGCGGGCAGGCCCAGACGGGCGGGTCGAACGGGCGGGTCGTTGAAGCGTAAATTCTGAATTGGACCGCCAGGCAATATGTAGCGGGAGCGCGATTCCTGAGTGTCGAGGGGCGGCATCTGAATAAATGGTGAGGAAGTACCAGGCGGGAGCCGCGATTCGGTAGTAAGTTGCGAGGAAGTCCCAAGCGAGAGATCGATTCTTCAATAAATTGTGAAGAGATACCAAGCGGGAGCCGCGATCCGGTGGCAAGTTGTAAGGAAGTCCCAAACGAGAGCGCGATTCTCCCATAAATTGCAAGGAAGTATGAGGCGGGAGCCGCTGTCGCTGCAAACCGGGGGCCAACGACACAGTTTGACCCTCAAGACTTTCCCTGATAAAGATCAGGGCGCGAGCCCCCGGAAGGGCACTTCAATCGAACAGAAACAATGTGCACCGGACGGGGGGATCAACAATGATTATTCCTCCGAAATGAAAGTTCAACAACAACAACAACAACAACAACAACAACAACAACAACAACAACAACAACAACAACAACAACATAAACAACAACAACAACAACAACAACAACAACAACAACAACAACAACAACAACAACAACAACAACAACAACAACAACAACGACGACGACGACGACGACAAAAACAACAACAACAACAACAACAACAACAACAACAACAACAACAACAACAACAACAACAACAACAACAACAACAACAACAGCAACAACAACAACAACAACCCTTCTACCAACATGCGCCATGCTCCCACATGTCACACGCATCCTTCTGGATACCACACCCCATCATGGGGGATGTTTCCTGCATGCGGGGTCCGACATTCCCTCGCCCAGATCTCCCGCCCAAGAAAGTATTGCCACCAGCTCTTCCGAGGAACTTCGACATCCACAGCTCGGACGGCACATCGCCATCACAATCGCCCTGCGCACGCCCCGCATCTCGGAGGAGGAGGAAGCGGACGAGTAGGGGAGGGAAGGTGAGGGAGAGGAAGACGGAGAAGGAAGACGAGGAGGATGGAGGAGGAGGAGGAGGACGACGACGGCGACGAGGGAGAGGAAGGAGGAGGAGTTGTAGTAGCAGTACCTCCGAGGACGAGGTGGTTATTACTGCTCGTTCGAACTGTCACGCCACCTTCCTGGGGGGCTCAGCGCGTGACCTTGAACGTTCACGCCCCCAGGCGTTGCCGCTCCCATGCTCACATCCTCCGGTTGCCCCTCCACACCTCTCAAGGAATCCCTGAAGTCGATCCTTCGACCCTCGATCCTTGGAGTACCTGGGGTCATCCGTCCTCCTTCTTCTCCTCCTCCTCCACATATCTATGCTCCCCAAAAATGATGAGCATTTAACATTCAAGGCTCTACAGGGACTCTTGGACGCCCCCCAGAGGCGATGCCGAAACGAGGGCCCCAGTCTTGAGTAAAAGGTGGGGAAGTATCAAACGGGAGCGACGAGGGAAGGCGGAAGGGGAAGGGAGGAGGAAGGAGGGAGGAGGGAGGCAGGAGAAGGGAGGGGACAAGGGGGACGAAAAGGGAAAGGATGAGGGAGGAGGAGGGAGGAGGAGGGAGGAGGAGGGAGGAGGAGGGAGGAAAGAGGGACGGGAGAGGGGAGAAGGGAGGAGGGAAAAGAGGTGGGGGTGGAGGGAGGAAGAGGGAGGAAGAGAGAGGGGGAAGTATGGAGGAGGAGGAGGAGGAGGAGGAGAAGGAAGAGGAGGAGGAGGAGGAGGAGGAGGAGGAAAAAGGAGGAGGAGGAGGAGGAGGAGGAGAAGGAGGAGAAGGAGGAGAGGGAGGAGAAGGGGGGACGGAGGAGAGGGAGGAAAGAGGGACGGAGGAGGGAGGAGGGGGGAGGGGTGGAGGAAGAAAGAGGGAGGAAGAGGAGGGAGGGGGAAGAGGAGGAGGAGGAGGAGGAGGAGGAAGAGGAGGAGGAAGAGGAGGAGGGAGGAGGAGGAGGAGGACGAGGAGGAGGACTAGGAGGAGGAGAAGGGGGAGGAGGAGGAGGAGAAAAGGGCACCAATCCAGCGTAAAACGGGAGGAAGTCTCGGGCGGGCTCGTTGTTATGCTGGGGGGCGGCGCCGATGAGAGAAAGAGTAGCGCGCCTGTCCAAGGTAAAACGGGAGGAAGTCTCGAGCGGGAGCACTGGTTTTGTTGAGACGGCTGCTTTCGGCGGCGAGCAAGAGCATCGGCCCTGTGCAAAAAAAGGAAGTCTCGAACGGGAGCGTTGTTGTTGTTGGGGGGCCGGTTTTGGCGGTCCCCCAAGCCGCTTGAGAGTGAGCCTCATTTTCAATGAAAATGCAGCCAGCGCCTCGGCGAGAGCGCCAGGGCGCCTGTAAGGGGTCCAACAAAAATAACTGCTTAGGAATTAACATTCAACCACAGCAGCAACAACAACAACCATAACCACAACCACAACTACAACAATACTACTACAACAACAACAACAACACCAACAACAACAACAACAACAACAACAACAACAACCACAACCACAACCACAACCACAACAACAACAACAACAACAACAACAACAACAATCATTTTACCCGAACGCTCAGTGTTCTCACCAGTGCCAGGGTTTTCATGCGACGCGAGACAATACCCCCACTTCGTGGGGGGGCAGTTCAAGCTCTACCAAATATCCAAACGACTCTTCGCGACCACCCAAACCCAGCTTCCCGCCCTATGACGTTGGGACACTTCACTTCGTGGCGTGCGGACGACCGTGGCTACTACACTGGCGTGGGGTACACACCCACAGAACTTGGTCACTTATTCGGGGCGCGCGTGTGCCCAGCATCCTGCAATTGTGACATACAATACATGACACAGACAGACAGAGAGAGAGACAGAGAGCAGACAGAGAGAGAGACAGAGAGAGCGGAGTTGGTCACATTTTTGGGGCAAGTTCCTGAGATCGTCGTGTTTTTTGTTGGTCTTGCGCGCGCGAATGTCCACTTTACTTTTTTTTTGCAAGGGATGTTGAAATTTGATTATGTAAGAACAAGAAAAAGTAGCTCGCGCGAGCTTATGTAACATAAATGTTGAAAAACCATTGGTTTTGTGGGAGTCGGACAGCGCGCGCGGGATGAAATTTGGACATTTTTTTTTGAAAAACCATTGGCTTTTTGATGTTTTTATGTTGAAATCGTTACGAAACCTAAGGTTCTGGAAGGATTTCGTCTTGCGCGCGCGAATGTCCACTTTACCTTATTTTTTGCAAGGGATTATTGAAATTTGATTATGTTAGAACAAGAAAAAGTAGCTCGCGCGAGCTCATGTAACATAAATGTTGAAAAACCATTGGTTTTGTAGGATTCGGACAGCGCGCGCGGAAGGACATTTTGACAATTTTTTCTTAAAAAACCATTGGGTTTTTGATGTTTTTATGTTAAAATCGTTACGAAACCTAAGGTTTTGGAAGGATTTCGTCTTGCGCGCACGAATGTCCACTTTACCTTATTTTTTGTAAGGGATTCTTGCAATTTGATCAAGTAAGAACAAGAATTTTCATTTTATAGTGTTTTTTGCAAGGGAAAACGGAGTACAACAAAAAACCGGATCCGGTGACAATCCATTTTTCTGAAGCTTTCGCAGAAAAATGATGAAAATGTAGCTGCGGCCTAGGTTTTGGAGGGGGGTCGTGCACCAGGGGTCCCAACAATAATTATTCTTTAGAAGTAATAATGTTCAACAACAACAACAACAACCACAACCACAACCAAAACCACAACCACAACCACAACCACAACGACAACGACAATGACACCACCACCACCAACAACAACAACAACAATAACAACAACAACCACAACAACAACAACAACAACAACAACAACAACAACAGCAGCAAAAGCAACAGCTACAACAACCACAACCACAACCACAACCACAACAATCACTCACTGCGTGGAGCTCCCCATATGCGCATCTACTGGCATGGATCTGTCCACCGTGAGAGTCTAGGCGCTAGAGTTTTCGAATATTCACGGGCTTGTGCATTGACGGTCTGGGAGCGAATCTAACCGTGAATGAAATACCTGGAGCCTCCTGGGGCTTCCTGAGACCTCCTGGGCCTTCCTGGGGCCTCCTGGAGCCTCTTGGGGTCTCCTGTGGCCTCTTGGGACTTCCTGTGGCCTCCTGAGGCCTCCTGGGGCCTCGCATGGCCTCCTGGGGCCTCCTGGAGCCTCCTGGGGCCTCCCGGGGATGATTCGTGCCCCAGGAGAGGCCCAATATATAAGAACAGACGCACACAAAACACTGAGGATTGGAGCCGCAGGAGACGGGCAATCTATAGGAACACACGTAAAACACCAAGGACTCGTGCCCCCAGGGGAGGCCCAATCTATAGGAACATACGTAAAAGACTTAGGATTGGATACACAGGAGAAGGACAATCTATAGAAACTTACGTAGAACACTAAGGATTGGTGCTCCAGGGAGGCATAATCTATAGGAGCATACGTGCAGTACATGAGATTGGAGCCGCTCCTGTGGCCTTCTGAGGCCTCCTGCTCCTGGGGCCTCTTGGGGCCTCCTGGTGCCTGCCGGGGCCTCCTGGTGCCTCCTGGCGCTTCCTACTGCCTCCTGGGGCCTCCTGTGGCCTCCTGTGGCCTCGCGGAGCATACTGGAGCCTCCTGAGGCCTTCTGGAGTTTCTTCGGGCATCCTGGAGCCTCTTGGGGCATCCTGTGGCCTCTTGAATCTTGGGAGGCAGTGGAAATGAACCTTTGAGGGGCCTATGAAGAGCGAGCTCGGAGGGAGGGTTGATGAGCCTTGGGTTTACACCTGAGTTTACACTGGTCCTTGGGTTTACACCAGCATCGTTGATGAGCCTTGGGCTTGCACTGGTCCTCCTCCTCCTCCTCTTCCTCATCCTCCTCCTCCTCCTCCTTCTCCTCCTCCTCCTCCTCCCCCTCCTCCTCTTCCTCCTCCTCCTCCTCAGACCTCCGACGCCGTGCTTCTTTCACGACGTGGACCCCTGGCTGTCTGGACTGAGAGGGAACGATACAGGGGGAACGGCTCAGGTGGGCAGGAGGAGGAGAAGGAGGCAGAGGAGGATGCGGAGGCAGAGGAGGAGGAGGAGGAGGCAGAGGAGGCCCAGAGGTCCACCTCCCGCCGGCAGCGGCGCCCGCGCGCCCGAAATGTATCGCCAATAGATCAGCGATAGGCCCCCGAAAGAGCGAGACGGGGTCGATGCTTCCCCTTCTGGGCCAGTCCCCACCCTGTCCTTGCCCCTGGTGGACCTTCTCTTGGCGACAGGCACAAGGGAGAGGCGCGAGGGGGGTGGCGCCTTCTAAGAAGGTGGCGCGCTCCCTAAAGGCAGGGGCCTTCTGAGAAGGGCCCAGAAGCTTCTCAGAAGACCTCTGAGAAGCTGGGAGGGCTTCTAAGAGAGCCCGTGCCTTCCTAGAAGCTCCCCCGCCTTCGATGAAGGCCGCCCCCTCGCGCTGCCCCCTTGCGAGCGCCGCCAATTTTCCCTGGGGCGGATGATTCGTCCCGAGTCGATGCTTGACGGCCACAGGTCCCCGGCGAGCGGCCCCCAGAGGCCGAGGACGGCCAAAGAGCTTCGCCCACGGCTCTCGCACAACGAGGGGGGGGCGGGCGTACTCCTGCAGAATCGGCCCTGGGCCTGTCCACGGAGCGCGCTGCCGACCGGGTCTCCGGAAGCGAGTCTGGCCACCGGGAGGCCCCAAGAGAGCCAAGCACATCAAAGTCCTCCCTCCTCCTCGCTAGTGCGACAATCAGTCAGCACGCCGTATCTGCATATAGACACAACAAACACTACGGACATCCAACCTGGATCCGGAGTACTTGTCTGGCCTTGTCCCCCGCAAAGCGGTATGCACGTCGTCCACGATCGCGCTGGTCCCGTTGGGCGTCGAAGGGACTCGATCCGCATCCTCGGAGTCCAGATCCTGAGCGGCGCTGGAATCATACACCCACCCAGGCCACACGGCGGAGAGAAGGGGGGAGGGGGACGAGCAAGAGCAGGGGAGGAGAAGCACGAGGAGGAGGAGGAAGACGAGGAGGAGGGAAGAGGAGAACGAGAGAGGAAGGGGGAAGGAAAGCGAGGGAGGAGAGGGGGAGACAAAGGGAGACAGCGGAGGTGATGGGAGGGGGGAAGGGAGGGAGAGGGAAGCGAAGCAACGCAAAGCGGCAATGCGATCGCAAAACAACTACGCAAACCCGCGCAGAGCAGTGCAAACCAATGCCAAGCAATGCGGAGCAACGCAAAACAATGCAAAGCAACGCAGACCAATGCAAAAAAACAGTGCGAACAACAAAAAAAAAAAAAAAAAAAAAAAAAACACTGCGTGGAGCTCCCCATATGTGCATCTACTCGCATGGACCTGTCCGCCGTGAATGTCTAGGCGCAAGAGCTTTCGAATATTAACAGGCTTCAGTTGTGACGGTCTGGACATCAATCTAACTGCGAATGAATTGGAGTGTGAATGAGCCTCAGTAGTACGAGCGCGTCTCTGTGCATGAGCCTGGGGCCTCCTGGGGCCTCCTGAAACCTACTGGGGCTTCCTGGGGTCTCCAGGAGCCTCTTGGGACCTCCTGGGACCTCCTAGGAAGGTTTCGTGCCCCAGGAGAGGCGCAATCTATAGCAACAGACGTACATAAAACATTGCGGATTAGAGCCACAGGAGAAGGGCAATCTATAGGAACACGCGTAAAACACCAAGGACTCGTGCCCCAGGAGAGGCCCAATATATAGGAACATGAGTAAAACATTTAGGATTGTGTACACAGGAGAAGGACCATCTATAGAAACATACGTAGAACATCAAAGAATCGTGCTCCAGGTGAGGCCCAATCGATAGGAGCATACGTAAAACACATGGGATTGGAGCCACTCCTGTTGCCTTCTGAGGCCTCCTGCTCCTGGGGCCTCTCGGGGCCTCCTGTTGCCTTCCGAGGCCTCCTGGCGCTTCCTGTTGCCTCCTGGGGCCTCCTGTGGTTTCCTGAGGCCTTCTGGAGCTTCCTGGGGCCTCCTGGAGCCTCTTGGGACATCCTGTGGCCTCTTGAGTCTTTCTGTGGCCTCCTGATGCCTCCTGGTACCTCATGTGGTCTCCTGGGGCCTCCTGGAGTCTGGCCCACCTGGGGGGTGAAAATTAGCGCCTCGCTCGAGACATCCTCCAAATCTGCTCCGAAAGCGAAGGATTTTGGGCCCAGAAACAAGCAAACCGCCTGAGACATCCCCACAAAATGGCCGCGAACGAGCCCGTGCAACCACCCCTGGCGGCTCCCCTTAGGGCCACGAGCCTGGCCACCAAAACAAGCAAACCGATCGAGACATCCTCAAAATCTGGCCCACCTGGGGGGTGAAAATGAGCGCCTCGCTCGAGACATCCTCCAAATCTGCTCCGAAAGCGAAGGATGTTGAGCCCAGAAACAAGCAAACCGCCTGAGACATCCCCACAAAATGGCCGCGAACGAGCCCGTGCAACCACCCCTGGCGGCTCCCCTTAGGGCCACGAGCCTGGCCACCAAAACAAGCAAACCGATCGAGACATCCTCAAAATCTGGCCCACCTGGGGGGTGAAAATGAGCGCCTCGCTCGAGACATCCTCCAAATCTGCTCCGAAAGCGAAGGATGTTGGCAAGACAAACAGGCAAACCGCCTGAGACATCCCCACAAAATGGCCGCGAACGAGCCCGTGCAACCACCCCTGGCGGCTCCCCTTAGGGCCACGAGCCTGGCCACCAAAACAAGCAAACCGATCGAGACATCCTCAAAATCTGGCCCACCTGGGGGGTGAAAATGAGCGCCTCGCTCGAGACATCCTCCAAATCTGCTCCGAAAGCGAAGGATGTTGGCAAGACAAACAGGCAAACCGCCTGAGACATCCCCACAAAACGGCCGCGAACGGGACCGTGCAACACCCCTCGGCGGCTCCCCTTAGGGGTGCTGAAACCAGCGCCCCGCCTGAGACATCCTCGCAATCTGCTGTTTATCGAATAAGTCAGACAATGAGAAGGTCTGAGTATGAGTAATTCTGAGTATGAGTAAGTCTGTGTATGAGGAACTCTGAGTAAAAGGAGGAGGAGAAGGAGGAAGTCTGAGTATGAGTAAGTCTGAGTATGAGTAGGTCTGGGTATGAGTAGGTCTGAGTATGAGTAAGTTAATGTGATCAGGTCTGAGTATGAGTGAGTCTGTGTATGAGTAAGTCTGTGTATGAGTAAGTCTGTGTATGAGTGAATCTGAGTATGAGTGAGTCTAAGTAGGAGGAGACGAGAAGAGGGGAGGAGGAGAAGAAGAAGGAGTAGGAGGCGTCCAAGTAATAACAAGAACCCCATCTTAGGATATGGGGAGAAAAAAAAAAAAAAAAAAAAAAAAAAAAAAAAAAAAAAAAAAAAAAAAAAAAAAAAAAAAAAAAAAAAAAAAAAACGGGCGGCGACGAGGCGGCAACGAGGCGGCGTCGGCGGCCACACGGCGGCCAAAGCGCCCCGCAGGCCCAGTTTTCCGTTTTCCGGAAGCAAGAACCCCCGAGTGCAAGCATCCATCGTTTGGGAAAAGTCCGTCGATGTTTGCGGCTGCGCTTCGGATCGAGGATGATGTCGGCATCCACGGGCCCTACAGGGTCGGCAGTGTGGCCTAAGCCAGCGAGTCCACGTCCGGAGGTGACGTGCTGAGCGGCAGCGTGTTTCGGCGAACGCCTTACTGCGACGTATCCAATGTATTCCATGACAGCGTAGTTGCTGCATACTGTACTTTGTTTCATTATTACTTATGTTTCCACGCCTAACCCCCTCTGGAGTCGCGCCATATCGTGGAACCAAACAACTTTGACGACCCCCATTTGGGGGTCAAAAACGTACCCACACGTACGGAAAATCGATAATCTGGCCACTTGGGAAGGCCTTAAGACGGTTCAAAATGGCCCCAAGACGGGACAAGACGGCCCCAAGACAGCCCAAGATGGCCCCAAGAGCGCCCAAGCGGTCCCAAGAGGGGCCCTCAAGAGCGCCTCCTGAGGCCAAACCGTGATTTGTCCATCAGTTTTCTGCTATTTTAGCGTTATCGTGTTTCTTCCACTCCTGGGGGGCCGCGACGGCCCAAGCAGCCTCCAAAATTGCCCCAAGACGGCCCATGAGGTCCCCAAGACGGCCCCGAGAAGGCCCAACATCGGACATCGGACCTGCAGCCGTCGCCGGCGGGGCCGTCGCAGGTTGGCGCCGTGGCACCGGGCACGTATGAGACAGATGAACAAACAACACACACGTGCACATGCTACGTTACAATATGAAACATACTACAAACAAGAAGGGTCAGGCGCCGTCCTGCCTACATAAGCTGCCGCAAGTATGTCCCATTTGTCTGAGAGGGCTTTGGAAATCCAGTCGGGCCCAGCGTAATGTACAATATCATCCGGCCACCGTTTCTTCGGATGACCCTATCGACGTCGTGCACCCAACAGTAAGTCGCATTGAGGGTTCCACCGTAACGCATGAGATGCCCATTCGTATTCTGCCGCAGTGCAAACTTTCTGGGCCCACCTCCATTTTCGTTGGCGCTGGATCGATATCCAATCAGTGATTCGCAGATGCTCCATCATCCCTTCAGCTTTGTGGGTGGACCATCGGATATAATCTGCCCATGGCTCTAGGCCGGAGTCGTCCTGTAACAATACCTCCAGTCCAAGTTGTCGTGGGTCTCGAAGTCGTGGCGCACGCAACATCATGCGCAGCATCTGGCGCTGTGTTCTGCAGAACCGGTTTTCCATGTCTACTGTCATTGTCCATGCTTCACATCCATAGGATAGTCGGTGTAATCGTCCCGCGAAAAAGCCGGATTCGTTTGTTCATTGAGTAACGCTTCCGCGTCAATTCAGTTCGCAGAATAAAGAATTTTCTCCATGCCGTCGAAATGCGGTTCTCCAGCTCGGTGGCGTGAAATTCGCTGAATTGAAGTTTCCTCCCAAGATATTTCGTCGATCTGTGAGGCGGCAAAATTCCGATTGACATTCCGTTGACAATTGCGTGGCTGGGTGCTCAAGAGGGCCCCAATACGGCTCAAAGAGGCCCCCAAGACGGGCCAAGAGGCCCCCACGGCGGCACAAGGGGGCCCGCGGGTGCGACTCGAGACGTGACCGGCCCCCTCCCCCCTTCCCCTTGTAACGCCCGTACCGCCAGGGAATCAACAAATTGCCTCCAATAGGCCCCCAAGAGGCCCCAGTAGGGCCCCAAGAGGTCCCCAAGAGGCTTCCAAAAAACTCCAAGAAAGTCCAAACGCCCGTGATCTCCGCAGTCCAGACGTGCTCCCCGCGAAGCGAGAAAAATCAACGTCCGGAGGTGACGTGCTGAGCGGCAGCGTTTTCTGGCGAACGCCTTAAAGCAACGTGGTCGATTTATCAAATATTACATACTTGCTACATGGTGCACTCTCTTACATTATGATGTCTCCCCCCTAACACTCCCCTGAAGTGGCGCCACATCTCGGCAGACCAAGGTGGCACACCCCCTCTTGGAGTCCAAGAACGTGCCAAGACGTATAGAAAATCTATGATATCGGCCTCTGGGGCCTCCTGGGGGTCCAAGAGGGCCTCAAGACGGCACAATGCAGCTTCTCGAAGGCCCAAGACGGCCCCAAGACGGCCCAAGATGGCCCCAAGAAGGACCAAGAGGCTCCCAAGATGGCCCCCGAGGGCCACAAGAAGACCCCCAAGAGCACCCCCAGAGACCAAAGACATTGATTTTCTTATGGATTTTGCAAAATTGTCGCGTTCTCAGCTTTTTCGATTCTCGTGGGCCCATGACGGCCCAAGCAGCCTTCAAGATGGCCTCGAGACGGCCCCACGGGCCCCCAAGAGGGCCCCAAAACACTCCAAGAGCGCCCCAAGATGGCCCACAGAGGCCCCAAGAAGGCAGAAGAAGCTCCCAAAACGACCCAAGAGGACAGCAAGAGAGCT